CCATCATTGAATACTTTGGTAATGTCTCTCTCTAGCACTATACTTTTAGATGAGTGTACTTGGCTAATTGATAGGGAAACATCTTGCCATATTTGCATAACCTTAAACACCATGTTTGATCTCAAACCAGTACTTAATAAACCCAAAATTATGCTTTCCAATGGCATCATCCTATATCCCTCATATATTGGTTCTGTTTATCTGACACGTAATATCATAATTCATAATGTCTTTTACATTTTTGAATTCCAATACAATCTTCTCCCCGTCAACATATTAACAGACCTTAATCATCTTAAATTTGTATTTCATTCTAAATCTTGTTGTCTTCAGGACCAGACATCTGAAAAGGTTGTTGTTCTCGGACAAAGAATGGGCAACATGTACACTAATCTCACTCATGGGTCAACTTCCACCTCTATCTCCCAAATGATAAATGTTGCTTCCACCTCTCCATCACCATCAGAGTTATGGCACATTAGACTTGGACACCCTTCTCAACAAACATTAAAGCACATCAACATACAATCCAAGATAAATTTATAACTAAAGAATTTTTATACCATGCTGAAATTATAACTGAATCACGTAACAATGCTTTATTTAGACAACTTATTTTTATCTCATATATATCGTTTACATTCATCGCTAACAACAAAATACTTTCACAAATTTCAAGATTCTTCTACCAAATGCAATTTTAGTTTGATTTTCAAAAGAACTAAAAGTTTTTTTTTTTTTTTTCAAAAGAACTTAAAGTTAAAGCACCACGTACTAAAAGTTAGAAAGCAAAATCTTGCATTGATACTTAAATATATTTACTGTATTGATATGTTTATATAATTTATTTAATTCTTTTTTTCTTTTAGGGTATGTTCGTTTGGAAGATTTGTGCAAAATCTTACTATTTATTTAATTTTTTTTCCTAAAAACATCAGATCAAACATTTATTTTTTATTTTTTATATTATACTAAAAATCAATTTTGCATTCAAAACATCACATCAATACCTATTTATATCACATTGTACAACTATTCAAATTCAAAATTTTTACTATTCAAATTCCAACTCAAAATCTAAACCCCCAAACAAACATAATGTATTATTTATTTTGACACCATATCCAACCAACTTTGCAAAAGTGGGTTATTTATTTATTATTTACAGTTGTTACCCTCTCATGGTCAGATAGAATCCCGCTACTGGGTGTTAAGCGACCCTGTCAAGAGAGAGAATGTTTTATATATATATATATATATATATTTTAAGTATTATTAACTTTTTATTTTTTTTTATTGTTGTTAGTTGTAAATTTTTATAAAATTATACAATAATATATAAAATAAAATATATATAGAGAATATTGTTTAATCTTGAAAAGTAAAAAGTATGATAGAAAATAAATGATTTCAGACCTGTAAAAAAAACTATATATATTATAAATTTTGTAAAAATAGAATTATAAATTTAAAAATTATTTGAATGATGCATGGAGGAGGGGACATGGGGCTTTAGACTCCCTTCTTTCCTATTTTATTTAATTATATTTTACTTACTCACAAAAATATATAGTTTTAAAATAATAATCAGTGTCAAATAAATGTTAAATCTCTTATATGAATTTTTGTTTTTCTAATGAAAAATTGTATTATTATTTATCTATTTTTAAAATATAGATATAAATATTTATAATATATAGCTATTGATGTTACTGCCGTTGGCTATTTTGTAATGCTTTTAGTTTATGAAATAAAAAAATAAAATTATCGAAAACTAAACTTATGTTCTTTTATATATGTATAAATATATTTTATTATTTTTTAAATTTAAAAAATTAATTTCTCCTTAAAGTCTAGTTCCACAACTGTTTATTTTCATTAAAATATGTAATTTAGTTAGTATGGTAATTTTTTTTTTATTTGTTTTGTTTTGTTATGAAGTGTTTTTTTGTTTTATAATTAAAATGGTTAATATGGTATCTATATTTGGATATATTATGTTTTATTTGGAATGAAATTTTAAAAAAATTAATTTAATAGTTAATGTTAAATGAAAATTTTTTTATTTTTATTTTGGCATATGGACAAAATTCTCACCCACTTGCGCCAATTGTCAATACAATCCAGTGCGCACTTTCGGATAGCGACTACGGGTTCCCACGTCATAAAAAAATAAAAATAAAAATGACATTTGTCTTTTTGTTTGATTGATAGCATCTGCAATAAGTAGTCGCACAAGTATTTTGTCGCTGTATATTTGAGAGAATTATTTTAGAAAAAATATTCATTAGAGTTCTCATTTATGTCCCACTCACTCTCCAAGTTTAAAGTGGTGTTTACCATTCAAACTTGCGGAAAAATTCGCAGTTTATAGATATCCAATCAGAGTTGACAATCAGCCATTAAGTTGCATTATTGTTGGTATTTTTGGCCCAACTCATTACTAATCCCAACCCACAATCCAAAATCCTTTAACCCAATCTGATTCTAAGGACCCGACCCGACCTACGTCTTGTAACTCCCCTTTCATTTCTCATTCGGTAAAGTGTGCATCGCGGCTGATTTTTGGTTTTCTCTCTAGTTCATCTTCTTCGTCGTTCTTCTCGGTAAGTTTGGAGGTTTCCTTTTTCACCGAAATTGCAATCGTTCTAGTTTGATTCTTTCGGTAAGTTGTTCATTTGGGTGTTATTCGTGAGATTCGTCGGAAAATCGGTTGATTAGAGTTAGGGGTTCTAAAGTCGAGTCCGTAGGTTTGGGGTTTTGTTTGGAGGCGGTTGGGTTAATCCCTAAGTGTGAGTCATTAAGTTGTAGATTGAGCCTTCAAAATAGTTTCCTCAATCGTCATTTTTTGAGTTGCTTGGGAATCGCCGGAGAAAGAAGAGAATTGCCGGAGGAAGTTGCTGGAGTTCGTTGGAAGTCTCCGCCGGAGGAGGGAGACGCTACTTTCCGGTGCCTTGCTACTGCCTCGCAGTCCCCCTTGAGTTTGTCCGCCAGAAGAAGCTCGAACAGGGAGTGTTCAATTTAATCATAAGCACTCTGTTTTTAGGCTTGATGTTGTTTTTTAGTTTTTGTTACATTTTTTTTAATTTTTTTATTTTTCACTTAGTTGTTGATTTTTGTTGTTTGACATATTAGTATAAAAATACAACAATTACTCTGCACTGTGCAATCATTGTTTGGCTCGATTTAAAAGTGAAACTGATTGGTTAGAGACAACTTATGCATAGCTAAGGGTAGGGATTTATTTTTTAAAAAAATTATGGAAAAATTTTGCATGTGCAAAACTGTAGTAAATTAATTATTTGATTTTTTTAATAATATAATTTAATAAAATATATAAGTTATTTTGTAAAATAAATTTTTATATAGTATAAATAAATAAAAAATATAAAAATATATTTATAATTAACACAAATTAATATAGAAAATTATATAATTATAATTTTATACATTTAATGTAATACATATTTATATCATTATATTTATTACAATACAGGTCGAAATCCTCAAAACACGACGAGATCATCAACCTCCATTTTTACCAACTCCATTCAGCCCGTGTAATACAATGTGTATATATATTGCATATATATATATATATTCATATTAATTATACATACATATATTATAATATAGGAAGGGATTGGGTGTTTGATAGTGTAGGGCTTGGTGGGATGGGTAAAAATTGGAGGTTCTTTGGAGGATGTGATCATCAATCTCATGTATTATGCTCTCTTCGCACCCCTCACCAAAAGTGATATATATATATACACACTATTTATAAAAATATACATATATTATTTATATATCATATACATATTATGTATATACGTCGGGAGCGGGGAAGCAAGGGGTTTGTCGGGGGCGAGGATCCCACCCTCCAAAGGAACCTACAAGTCTAAAAAAAAATTACAAATATTTAAATTTATTGTAACATTTAAATTTAAATTCAAATACAATTTCTACAAACTATTTTTGGTATGTTTCTGTCCTACCTATCTGACCCGAATCGACCTAAACTCTACCCGTTTCCAATTTAACCGATAAAATTGACTCAAATCGTTCTAACTCATTCCTCCACTTCTCTCTCAATCGGTTCCGAAGTCGACGGGTGAGTTCTGCTCTTCTTTGACCTAAATTCAAACATGATTGTTTCTACTCGTCGCCTCTGCATCAGGTAAGTTTGACTTCCTCTAAATTGAAGTAGTTTATCCAATATTTTCACATCTATAAATATAGGGTTGCTAGGTGTGTTGGTTGGGGTGTAAAAAATAGAGAGAAACTTTATATACTTTGATGATACTGTTCGGGGCTTCTTGCCACAATTTTTTTCTTGGGGTGTGAAAAATAGAGAGAAACTTGTGATTGGTATTTTTTTTTTTGATGACGTAGGAACCCGCAGCTGCTACCCGAAAGTGCGCACTGGAAAATCTTCGGCCGAACCTAATACTCTATAAATTAGGTCCGATAGACAAGTCACACTAGGTGAACCATGTGTAGCAGGTGACCTGAGGCGTCAGACACTTTGATGATACTGTTGGTGGGTTCTTGCCACGATGACTTTGCATACCGATCATGTGTGAAGTCGGCAACATTGGACGACTTGGGGTGGTGAAGGGAGTGGCTGTGAATCTGAGCCAATTTAATCATTATTATTTACTTTCTAATTTTGCTTAATATATATCGTTATCCATCGGCTTATCAAATTTTTTGTGTGAACTTTCTTGTGTTTACAGGTTACTCCAAATCCAATTCGAACTAGAGAAACTCAACAACTTCCTCGACACTCATCTAATAAAAAATATTTGAATTTAAGTTTAAAATTTTTACTTGTGATTTAATTTAAATATTATAATATTAAAAAAAATATTCTTATTAATTAAAAACATTCTGATTTATCAAACAAAGACCTTAAAAATATTCAAATAATTATTTAAATTTAAAAATTTAATATTAAAAACCTCAAATCTAAAATACTAATCCCAAGCAGAAAAACAGGCTTGAATGAAAGAAATGGATCCTTTGCTACTTACTGCACTAACCAGTTGACCCAAACACGCAGGCAGCCCAGCTACCATCGTAAATCCATCTTCTATCATCACTTTCCGATTCCGATTCCGATGGAAGACTTCCCGGAGGACCTCCGCACGCCGCCCGTCGCTTTAGCCTGTGTCGTCGGCTGTCCGGAGGTGCACTCCCTCATTACCCCCTACCTCCACTCGCAGCAGCCCCCAATCAACACCCTCGCCCTCCCCGATTTCTCTAAGATCTCCCTCATCCCCCCTAAGAAACCTCCTCCAGAGAACCCCCAACCCCCGCCCGGCATCATCCGGAAAGATTGGATTTCCAAGCACCGCACCAGGATCCCCGCTGTTGTTGCCGCCCTATTTAGCTCCACCGATGTCTCCGGCGATCCCGCTCAGTGGCTCCAGGTCTGCAACGATCTCGAAAATCTCAAGTACGCTGCTACTCCCGCACGCTGCTCCTTTTATCCCCCAATTTGAATCTCCTTTTCTCTCAGACTTAAACTGATTTAAGTTATTGGCAGGGCAACGATACGTGGTAGGAACATTAAATTGGTGGTGGTGGTGGTTACTTTATCAGCTCACAAAGGTCTGCAATAATTCACATCTCCTCTCTTACCGTACTTCGCATATGATTTGTCATCAATTATGTGTTTGTTTATGTTCATCAGCAGACTCATTTTCATATCTTTGTGATTATTGTAAATCTCTGGCATTGCTAGAAATATGTAGTACATGAGTAGAATTTATCTCTACTAGTTGTAGTTTATACAAACCATCATAATACCCACAAGAATGGTGTAAGTTTCCAGTTTTTTTTTTCCTACTAATTCATACACCTGAAACAGAACCTATTATCACACTTCTTTTTGATAGTTATGTTTTTCTCTGGGTTAATTTTATTGAACGCATAGCATATTCTACCTGTATTTAACTATATACAGGTTCTACTTCCGAGATTTGTTAGTTTGATGTATGGATTCAAGATTATAAACTTGCTTCTCTGATCTTTACATTATTGTATGCTGTTCTTTGTTTTTAAATTATCAATGGTGGTGTTTACATTGAGAACTTATCTTGTAGATGACACAAGTGAAGACCGCATGATTGCCTTGAGGAAACGTGCAGAAGTGGAGTCAAAGAACCTGATTGTTTTTATACAAGATGATCAGTTGGAGCTTAAACAATCTTTAACTAGGCATGGAATTCTAATTCTTTTCTTATTCCATTTTCTCCAATATACATTTTTCTCTGCCATTCTAATTTTCTATTTTTTTATCATTATTTTTAGTAGTTAACTATGTTTCAAAGAAAATCAAATGCCAATTTTTATGATGAAATCTGCCTTATACCTCCTGGACACAGATTAGGGGTTTGGCACTCTTCTGTTTGTTAATTATTAGACGTTGTTCCAAATGGTCAAATACATGTTTTTTAGTGAAATCTTCTTTAGACATTCTGAATGCAGAAGATCAGGGAATTAGCACTTGCCTCCTTTAAATAGGTAAAATTTCTTCGCGAAAAAATACAATACATGTTTGGTAATTAAATCCTTATTTGAACCTCCTGAATGCACATATTAGAGGATTCACAACCAGATCCAAGTTCATGTTTCTTTGCCAAATAATCTTTTGACATGCCTCAAATCTAATGATCTAAACCAATGCAGGCTCTGGACTGCATTTTCAGATCTTGCAAACATATATTACCGAGATGAAGGGAGAAGAATAAAAACACGCCTTGAAAAGAAAAGCTTTAGCTCAATGGAATTGAATGTTCGCTACTGTTTCAAAGTAAGGGTCTACTGTCATTTTGATTCAAGTGGCTTCTATTGTTTTCAAAACTGTTTGTATTTTCTTTAGGAAATAATATCAATTTCTGTGAGTCTATCCAGTGCAATTGAATTACAGACATGAAGAAAAATCTATTTTGTTGACCATGAGTGCTTTTTGAGGAATTAACCTTTTAATGTATACCTTACACATCCTAAGTACATTGAAAGAGGACATGCATCAAATATTCCCCTTGCCCTGTATCTGTTCAATATATGCTACACAATTTCTCTTTTCTTTTCTTATGTTATGTTATTTATTTATTTTAAACCTCATCAACTTCTAGGTTGCCGTATATGCAGAATTTCGAGCAGACTGGCTTGAAGCTCTAAAGTTCTATGAGGATGCGTATCATGCACTTCGAGAGGTACTTCTTCTATCATATCAGCAACTTAAGCTTAATTTCTGTTGCTGACATTTTAGATTCCATTAAGGGCCTCACTATTCAAGAAGTTTGTCAGTCTCCTCTAATTAGTTTGCTTAGCAACTTCAAAGCTTTTTGAAGTTAAGACAAAGTTCCAGTACATCTGAACAGAATTTTCTCACTGGTCTTCTATTGGCAAATACATCACTTGAACAAATAAGGAAATCTATTGCATGTTCATTGCAGAAATTAATTGGTGCCCTAATTCAATAACAACAATACCTTTGAAAGTGCCAGGTGTTTCAAATGAGAAAGGCCTCAGAACCTAAAATCTCAAATTTCTGAAACACTGAGATCACACACATAATGCTGAATAAGCCACTATACAAATTAGGAAAGATCGGAAAACATTTGAGATTTAATCATTGGCGTTTCATACCTTTTTTGTTCCTTATCAAGGAATTTTAAGTTTACATATCCTCTTTACTGCAAACAACGTGCACACATCATGCTTGGGCGTTATCTATATATATATATATATATATAAATATAAAGGGTAGAAGAGGGAACCGAGAAAAAAAAGAATAAGTAGCAGAAACACCTTTTTCTATAACATCAACTCTTTGATGGATTGATAACTTACAAATGGAATGAACACCCTAATATATACGCATATCTAAAAGAGGGAATCTAATAGATATTTATATGCATATCTATATACTCACCACTACTAACTATAACAATAAGTAGTACCTGTTACGTGTTACTTGGATTGTGGGGATCACGAAATAATCTAGAACACTAGAGGTACTAGAGTGTGTTTGGCTTATGTACGCGACCATTATCTTCTATATTAAGGCTATCCATTCTAATGGACTAACAGAGCTTCATAAGTATTTTGAATAGTAAAATTTTAAATTGAAATATTGATGTGATGTTTTGTCTATAAATTAATTTGTAGTGTAATATAAAAATAAAAATAAGTATTGATTTGATGTTTTTTGTGGCAAATTCTTATGAAAAAGGATCAGAGAAAAACAGAGTATTGGAACGGGATGGTTTCATTCCTTTGAAAACTGAATACAAAGCAATGTTATATACACTTCCCATTATAATATTAGGTAATATGTCCAAAGTGGCCACAATATTCTATTTATCTAGAACCTCCTGTGACGAACTCTAAATCCCTCTAACAAACTCCAGCCTTGTGGTCCACACTTCCTTCTAGAAGCAGGGGAGGTTTGGCTTGGGTTTCTTGTGATCAACACTCACTTCACAGCTTTTCCTTTCCTCATGTGCAGCTTCTTCTTCCATGTATTCTCCCATCTTGGTCATGAATCTATGCTCATGTTGATGTGCTATATTTTGACGGAAATTGAAGTCATTGATCTTTTTCTTTTTCTTTTTAAATTGTAAATATCACTTATTGTTTCATTTGCATCACCTATTGCATGCAGATGGTTGGGGCATCGACTAGAATGCCTCCCATTCAGAGACTGGTTGAGATCAAGACAATTGCTGAACAATTACATTTAAAAATGTCAACATTATCACTTCACGGTGGTAAGGTTGTAGAAGCAATTGCATGGTTCCGCCAGCACACAGCTAATTATAGAAAACTTGTTGGGGTTCCAGATGTTAGTTTTCTTCACTGGGAATGGTTAAGTCGACAATATTTGGTATTTGCTCAATTGTTGGAGACAAGCTCCACCAACACTACGCAGGTTCCTAGTAATACATCAATCACAGCAGACAAACCAACTGAATGGGAATTTCATCCTGCTTACTATTATCAGGTTGTCCCTTTCATTCTGAATTCTTACCAATATACATATTTATTGATCAATTCTTATTTCCAATCTTTCTTTGACATATCTTGTAACAGTTGGCTGCTAGCTACTTAAAGGAAAAAAATGCATGTTTGGAATTTTCTTTAACCATGTCAGAAGATCTTGGTTCAAGTGATGGGATAGCAGAATCTGTTTCTGCTTCTACTTATCTTGGTCAGTTTTGTAGGCTGCTCGAGCGTGATGACAATTATATCATGCAACCGTGAGTTACAAGCTCAATAATATATCTTCCTTTCCTTGCTATCCCACATATATGAAATTTTTAGGATCTCCTCTGGTAGGCAATTTGTATTGAAGTATTGAAAGCTTCTGCTGAATGATTTTGTATGCAGGTTGACAGATGATGAATTTGTCCGTTATATCCTTGCTGAAGGGAAGAGATTCCAGGATTCTTTTGAAATTATTGCTCTCCTGAAGAAATCTTTTGAAGCTTACACTAACTTAAAGGCTGAGAGGACAGCGGCTTATTGTGGATTTCAGATGGCTGGAGAATATTTTGCAGTAAATGAATTCAGTAATGCGAAGCAAATATTTGACAATGTTGCCAGTCTTTATAGACGGGAAGGGTGGGTATTGTCATTGTGGGAAGTGTTGGGCTACTTGCGGGAGTGCTCAAGGGCAATTAGTTCAGCTAAAGACTTCATAGAATATTCTCTTGAAATGGCTGCATTACCAATTACAATTGGTGATGAGGCCTTGTCAAAAAATTGTGGTCCAGCAGGGCCAGCAACTCTCTTACAAAGAACAAAGATACAGAAGGAAGCCTTTGAGGTTGCAAGGGGAGATTCAAAGGATAACTCGAACGAACAGTTCAGTGATCTCAAAGTAAACAGTGATTATCCTCTGTATCTTGAGATAGATCTTGTCAGTCCCTTAAGGGCAGTACTTCTTACTTTGGTTGCTTTTCACCAACCAATGGTTAAGCCTGGTGCACCAGCTCTCATAACCATAGCACTTAGATCCCAACTGCCTACAAATGTGGAGATTGATCAATTGGAGGTGCAGTTTAACCAATCAGAGTGCAATTTTATCATTGGAAATGGTGAGAAGCCACATGTTGCTGCAGCCTACAATATACAACCTGGTCGCAGAGTTGAGACTGCTCCAGCTCTGGTGCTTGCCACTAATAAATGGCTGCGATTGACATATGAAATAAGATCTGGTAAGTTGGTCACATAACTTGTTAGCTATTGTCTATCGTAATATTCCCATGAAACAATAAAAAATAAAAAATCTTTGATTTCAACTTGGAAAATAATGGTTTATTACGGTAACTCATTTTTTACTGTGAACTCCAATTGAAACTTATATAGCAAAAGTCAAGATTCCTATGAAGAAAATTCTGGCAATGTGTAGTAGATCTTATATGTAAGCTTCTATATCATGCTCTAGCATTCTTCTTGGTAATCTGTAGCCTTTTCTGCAAAAATGTGATTATATCCTGAATAATGCAGATCAAAGTGGGAAGCTTGAATGCATATATGTAATCTCAAGAATAGGACCACACTTCACAATATGTTGCAGAGCTGAAAGTCCTGCTTCAATGAATGATCTACCACTTTGGAAATTTGAAAATGTGGTGGAAACTATTCCCACCAAGGATCCTAGTCTGGCATTTTCTGGGCAGAAGGCCATACAGGTTGAAGAACCTGATCCACAGGTAGATCTAATCTTAGGTTCTAGTGGCCCTGCATTGGTTGGAGAAAGCTTTATTTTACCCGTCACTATTGCCTCCAAAGGGCATGCAGTACATTCTGGTGAGTTAAAGATTAATTTAGTGGATACTAGAGGTGGTGGCCTGCTTAGTCCGAGGGAGGAGGAACCATTCTCAGCTGACAATCTCCATGTTGAGCTTGTTGAGATATCTTGTCCAGTACCTGAAAATCCATCTGAAGCTTCTTCTGACAACATTCAGAAAATTCAGCCGTCTTTTGGATTGATCTCTGTTCCATCTCTGGAGGTGGGTGACTCATGGTCTTGCAATCTCAAAATTAAGTGGAATCGCCCTAAACCTATAATGCTTTATATCTCATTGGGCTACTATCCTGAGAAGGGGGAGTCTAGTTTGCAAAAAGTGCATGTACACCAAAGCCTTCAGATTGAAGGAAAAACTGCTATTACTATCAATCATCGATTCATGCTTCCGTTTCGGCGGGATCCACTCTTGCCATCCAAAATTAACTCGGTTTCTGAAGCAGATCAGCTGCCATCACTAGCTTTGAATGAGTTAAGTGTGCTGGTAGTCAGTGCTAAGAATTGTTCGGAAGTTCCACTACGGCTCCTGTCTATGTCTATTGAGAAGGAGAATGACGATGCATGCGACATACACCCTCAGCATGAGGCGTTGAGCGAAACTGCTGTTCATGTGCCAGGAGAAGAGTTTAAGAAGGTTTTTACAGTCATCCCCAGGTTAAGTTGCGGTAAACTCAAGATTGGCACGGTTATTCTGAGATGGCAGAGGGATTCAAGATCAAAGGAGGAGAAGTTTGTCTCATCTGGCACTGTTACTGCAGCCGAAATTACGAAATACAGACTTCCGGATGTAACCGTTGAGCTACCTCTTCTGGTTGTAAGTTTGGAATGCCCTCCGCATGCTGTTCTTGGAAATCCCTTCACGTTTCAGGTGAAAATCAACAACCAGACAGAGCTGCTTCAGGAGATCAAATTCTCATTAGCTGATTCACAGAGCTTTGTGTCGTCTGGGCCAAACAGTGATACGACCTTTGTCCTGCCCCGGTCGGAACATGTGCTGAGTTACATGCTGGTACCCCTGGGATTAGGTTCTCTGCAGCTTCCTAGAGTCTCCGTGACATCAGTGAGATACTCTGCGGGTTTACAAGCCTCTAATGCTTCGTCCATTGTGTTTGTATATCCCTCCAAGCCTCGGTCAGCAAGTTGTATAGCTTGAGGGATATGAATGAAATTTACTCGACAGCCACAGCAGCAGTAGTAGTTTTGCTACTTATTTTTGTTTTATTTTGTTTTCGGTTTGGGGGGTTTTTCTGGTGAAAATACTTGTTCAGAGTGAGGTAAAATCTACATTTACTGCAGCATTGATATGATATATGTCTTAAGAGAATTTAGAGTTATTGTATTCTCCTTCAGAAAGGATCTTGACAAAGTGGTTCGATTTTAATGATTAATCTCACTTCTTAGTATTCTTTGTGATGTTGATAGCTGGATTTCCTCCAGATTGGAAACTCAACTCCATGGCTGACTGGTTAGCTTTTGTTGTATCGTTATTTAAGCATTGGTTTATTATTTCTTGGCAGTTTATGACAGGGATAGGAACGGATCCCGGGTTCTGACGATGTTGAGCATAGATGGAGAGTGCAGTGTAAGAAATCATCATCGGCATTTTCTGGTAATTCTTCTCCTGTTTGTTTTGGTTACCTATGCCTGTTTGTGGTTATGGTTGGGGCAAAAGAGAAATTGATTTAGGTTGTAGTATTTATGCATCCTTTCTGCCATTTTTATTCAACTAATTGTGTAGCATAAGGTTGATTCCCTCTCTGTGTCTTAACCTGCTTTCCATTCCTCCTGCTTTGGTGATGGGAATCAGAATAATGGAAATATATATATATATATATATGTGCATAGAGGAGTACAATTCTGATCCCGCTTGGTAATTTCACCAGTTGTTTTGTGAAATAAATTTCGGCACTATTTAGACACGGGTTTGTTTCTTTGGGTTTGGTTTAAAAAGATTTGGTTTAGATTTTCTATTTAAATAATATTTTATGAAAAGTTTTATTTGATAAAAAATTGTATATGTTATATAATAATAATATAATATATAAATTGGTAAGTATATAATATATGTGTATGTATGTGTTTTGCATATGTATGTGTGCTCTAAGTATATATTATATATAAGTATATAATATATGTGTATGTATGTGGTTGCATATGTATCTGTGCTCTAAGTATATATTATATATATATAAATGTGCATATAAGGCACTATCTATATATTAATATATATATATATATATGATACGTAGTAGTAGTGTAATTAATAAGAAGCGAGAGAGAAAGTTGTAAATGTGGACCAAATTGATATCTATTTTCAAGGACACCAAGTTATACATATATATAGATTCTTTTAGCCAATTACAAACATCCACACCTAGTATACGTATATGCCAACAAAATGCTACGTATTCAATTGTTGTACAACACTTCCCCTTGGATGTTTTATACAAAGAACGTGCCTCGTTAAAACCTTACTATGAAAAAACCCTGTGGGAAAAAATCATAGTGAAGGAAAAAGAGTACATCATTCTTGTATTAATGCGCTCTCCCTGTTTTGGACTTTATTTGATGTCTTTTATCCGACGCATTCCAATTTCTTGCACCAGTTTGTTGAATGTTGCAGTCGGTAGCGCCTTCGTAAATAAATCTGCAAAATTTTCAGACGATCGAATTTGTTGCACATTAATTTCACCATTTTTCTGAAGATCGTGAGTGAAAAAGAATTTCGGAGATATGTGCTTTGTCCGATCGCCTTTAATATATCCTCCCTTTAATTGAGCTATACAAGCTGCATTATCTTCAAATAATATTGTAGGAGGTAATATATCATCGGTAATCAAGCCACAATTCTTCTGAATATGGTGAGTCATGGACCTCAACCAAACGCATTCACGACTGGCTTCGTGAATCGCTAAAACCTCAGCATGGTTTGAAGAAGTAGCTGTTATCGTCTGTTTAGCAGATCTCCAAGAGATTGCGGTTCCACCACAAGTAAACAAATAGCCAGTTTGAGATTTTGCTTTGTGTGGATCAGAAAGATAACCAGCATCAGCATAACCAATTAATTCATTTCGAGATTCACTCGAATAAAATAAACTGAGGTCATGAGTCCCCTGGAGGTAACGAAAAATGTGCTTGATACCATTCCAATGGCGCTTTGTTGGGGATGCGCTAAACCTGGCCAGTAGATTTACTGAAAAAGATATATCTGGCCTGGTACAATTTGCGAGGTACATTAATGCGCCAATAGCGCTGAGATATGGTACCTCGGGGCCAAGTATTTCTTCATTTTCTTCTCTTGGCCTAAATGGATCTTTACTGGGGTCAAGAGATCTGACCACCATTGGTGTACTCAGAGAGTGAGATTTATCCATGTAAAATTGTTTTAATACCTTTTGGGTATATGTGGATTGATGGATAAATATCTCATTATTAACATGATCCACTTGTAATCCCAGACAATATTTTGTCTTTCCAAAATCTTTGATCTCAAATTCTTTCTTTAGATATTCAACTGCAATTTGAATCTCTTCCGGAGTTCCAATTAAATTGAGATCATCAACATATATAGCAATAATGACAAAATTTGATCCATTTTTCTTTATAAAGACGCATGGGCATATTGGATCATTAGTATAACCTTCTTTTATTAAACATTCGCTCAGACGGTTATACCACATTCGCCCTGATTGTTTAAGTCCATACAATGACTTTTTCAATTTGATGGAATATGATTCCCTTGGGTTTAATTTGTATGCTTCAGGCATATTGAATCCCTCAGGAACTTTCATATAAATATTAGTATCCAAGGAGCCATAAAGATATGTAGTAACTACGTCCAAAAGGCGCATATCGAGTTTTTCTCGCACTGCTAGGCTCACAAGGTATCTAAATGTTATTCCATCAACAACTGGAGAGTACGTTTCATCAAAATCTACTCCAGGTATTTGTGAGAATCCCTGAGCTACAAGACGGGCTTTATATCTCACAATTTCATTATGCTCATTTCTTTTTCGTACAAACACCCATTTGTATCCAACTGGTTTTATACCATCTGGTGTTTGAACAATTGGTCTGAAACCTCTCTTTTGTTTAATGAATCAAGCTCTGATTGAATTGCATGCTCCCATTTTGGCCAGTCATTTCTTTGCCGACATTCATGAACCGATTTTAGCTCTGGATCCTCGTTTTCTTCCATTATATCAAGTGCTAAATTGTATGCGAAGGCATTATCAATAATTGCCTCTTTACGGTTCCAACATTTTCTTGAAGTAACATAGTTAATTGAGTTTTCAATAATCTCATCATGTTCTTCAAGATCGTGCTCTTCTTGAGCAATTATTTCAGGGTTGACTTCCTCGTTAGATTGAGGTTTATCAATGTCATTCTTGATATTTTCATGATTTTTATCATTAATTCCTCTTTTTTTTCGAGGATGTTTGTCTTTGGAACCGAGTGGTCTACCATGCTTTAAGCGTGTCGCTAATTCATTAGCACTTCCAATTTGTCCGTCAGGGACAATTATTTTAGCCGGAGCATTAGCAGCTTGGATATATGATCGAGTGACTTTGCTCGAGTCATTGAATGCATCCGGTAACTGATTTGCAATGTTTTGCAAATGTATGATGCGTTGAATTTCTAGTTCACACTGCTTTGTACGAGGATTACAAAAATTCAATGGGATTTTCCAATTAATATCCCTTTTCGGCTCGTTTTTGTCTCCCCCTAATGTCGGAAAATATGATTCGTCAAAATGACAATCTGCAAATCTTGCAGTGAATAAATCGCCCGTCATAGGTTCAAGATATTTTATAATTGACGGCGATTCATATCCGACATAAATGCCCAATCTACGTTGAGGACCCATTTTTGTACGTTTTGGGGGGTGGAATAGGAACATAAACAACACACCAAAAAATACGTAGATGAGATATATTTGGTTCGTGACCAAATACTAACTGCATCGGGGAGTAGCTATGATAGCTTGTCGGCCTCATTTTTATAAGTGTTCCTGCATGTAAGATTGCATGCCTCCAAGCTGAAACGTGCAACATAGACCTCATCAGTAATGGTCTAGAAATCAATTGCAATCTTTTAATAAGTGATTCTGCCAGACCATTTTGTGTATGAACATGAGCAACTGGGTGCTCTACATTAATTCCAATTGACATGCAATAATCATCAAATGCATTCGATGTATATTCACCAGCATTATCCAGACGTATAGTCTTAATTGGATTATCGGGGAATTGTGCCCGTAATTTAATAATTTGGGCAAGCAATCTCGCAAATGCCATATTGCGAGTAGATAATAAACAAACATGAGACCATCTCGTAGATGCATCAATAAGCACCATAAAATATTTAAATGGCCCACACGGTGGGTCTATTGGTCCACATATATCCCCGTGTATTCTTTCCAAAAATGTAGGTGATTCAATACCTACTTTAGATGGCGATGGCCTGGTTATCAATTTTCCCTGAGTGCAGACAACACATGTTAACTCATTTGAGTTTAACATTTTTTGATCTTTTAATGAATGGCCACGCGAATTCTCAATTATTCGCCTCATCATTATACTGCCAGGATGCCCAAGGCGATCATGCCATATTTGAAAATCGGTAGTCCTTTGATCTACCGTGAGGTGTGTTTCAACAACACCTAATCTGGTATAATATAAGCCAGTAGAGAGTGATGGTAATCTCTCAATGATGCATTTCCTTTTATCAATGATATTGGCGATCAATAAAAATTCACCATCGGTATCACTCATAGTTTCAATGTGATAACTATTTTTCCGAATGTCATGAAAGCTCAGTAGATTTCTTCGAGCTTTAGTGGCCAACAGTGCATACTGTATCACAATTTTCGTCCCCGCGGGGAGAAATATAATGGCTTCTCCAAAGCCTTCAATTAATTTCGCACTGCCACTTATTGTATTGGCATTCATTCTTTCCCTTTTCAAACGGAAGAAATATTTTTCATGTTTCAATATAGTATTTATCGTTGCACTGTCAATGAAACACATATTTGCATCATTTTGATTGGCATCCATTTAACCAAAAATAAAATAGGCAAGAGCCTCGTGCTGATAACATATTATATAATAATAATATAATATATAAGTTGGTAAATATATAATATATGTGTATGTATGTGTGTTGTATATGTATGTGTGCTCTAAGTATATATTATATATATATAAATGTGCATATAAGGCACTATCTATATATTAATATATATATATATGATATGTAGTAGTAGTGTAATTAATAAGAAGCGACAGAGAAAGTTGTAAATGTGGACCAAATTGATATCTATTTTCAAGGACACCAAGCTATACATATATATAGATTCTTTTAGCCAGTTACAAACATCCACACCTAGTATACGTATATGCCAACAAAACGCTACGTATTCAATTGTTGTACAACAGTATATATATTTTTTTCTTTTTGGAAAACACATAGTCCAAATTGTTAGAAGAGGTGTATCCTCGAGGAGGCCTTTTCATATATTTGATGTTATATTTTGTGAGAGAATAAATATTTATGTGATTTTTTTTTTTTAAAAAAAATTACTATCTATAAAATTTCATTTTAGGAGAAGTAATTATATAAATAATAAGGTAATATTGAACTAACAAATTTTATTTATGCAGTTTTAAGTCAATAAATACAATTGTTATAGTATTTTTATTTTAACCCACAATTTTATTTTTTACTTTAAAAAAAAATCTTCAAATATTTCATTTTATATATTATTTTAAACTGTTTTTTATATTTGCAATTAACATTACCTTTAAAAAATAAAAAATAAGTACTCCTAGAATTAATATGCAAAAATAAAAAACTTAAAAAAAAAAAAATTACAAACAACAAAGCAGGCTAATGTGCAATACTATTTTTGGTGTTGTATTGCAGCAATGTCATTTTATAGCGTCCTGTGTCCGGAAGCTGACAAGTCCGGCGCCTAGGTCACACCCACGCTGAGGCTCAGACCAGTCGTCTTATGTGCGCAATACGTTCGAGATATATAATATGGGAGAATTATGTGGAACACATACCTGCACAAAGATATATGCCATCAATAAGGTGTATAGGACAGAGACTCGCACACATGGGACAGAACATGGCCGAGAACTTGGGGCAGAAATGTCGACCTGTGACAATACTCCACCACTTCAAATCACAAACGCCCTCGTGCGATGCTATTTAAGTGCACTGACGTTGTTTCTTATGTCCTCGGTATGCCTCCGCGTCAGTTCCTCGACCCTTTTCTGCATACCATTCTCTTTGTGCTCACCAATAGCCAGCGATGTTGTGATCCACATTCCGCTGCACATCTCCACACACCATCCGGGAAATCCGTTGTTGCGGCTTGTGCGATATTCGCCCAAAGATCGCCCTTAATGTGATTTTGCCCTCACGAACAAAGCTCGGCCCGCTCGGCCCTTCAGCAACGTCGAGCATACTCCCCCTTATTGGGATGTCATGTTACCTTAGGACATGCTCTTCCTCGACGTGCTCGGCAATGTCGAGCGTACTCCCTCTTTGAAATGTTCAGTTACTTTAGGATATGCTCATCCTTGACGTGCCACCGGCATACTCCCGGAGCAATGCTCACTTTATCGCTTCGTTCGCCACCAGCGTTAAGGTCCGCTCTGATACCATATGTAACATGTTCGAAAGCTAAGATGCCCGGCGCCTAGGCCACACCCCGCGCAGAGGCCCAGACCAGCCGTACCCTGTGCGCAACATGTCCAAGATATACCATACACACGGGACTCGCACACATGGGACTGGCCGAAAATTTGGGGCAGAAATATCAACCAATGACAGTCCTTTAGGTTGAAGTATGTTGCTGCTTCAACCGCTTTTTTAAGTGGGTGCACAATTTAGTAAATTTTTATTACAATAAAAAAGAGATAAACTATAATTATTTTTTGTGCATTTTCATACGATTTAAAATATTTAATTATATTATTGTTTGGAATGCTTCTAATAAAATAAAATAAAGATAAAGAGGGATTAAAACTTGGGTAAAAAGAAAACTAATACTATATTATATAATTATTTAATTTTATTTATTTATTTATTTTTTCTTCTAAATGCTCAATATAGAACCATCCTCAAAATAATTACTAAAAAAAATTGTAAATATGATTTGCTATTTGAGTATTTGAATTACACGTTAAGGAATATGAAATAAAACAAACTCATATACGATTTATGAAATAAAACAATTATAATAATAAATCACGAAATATTTAAAAAATATACAAATAAAAATAAATTGTGAAAGTATATTGATGGTTAACCAAACAGTTTTCTCCCTCTCCCTCTCTTACTTTCTGAGTGGTTCATGATTAGTTATTTTTTCCTCTTCCTCCTTTATCTCAAGAACACTGCCACCCTAGTGTAGCTGCGACGCCATGGGAATCTACGGTGTACTACAGCCTCTCCCAGTGCTCCCCCGAGCACCCTCCCCCGCCCTATCATGGTTCCATCACCACCCTTTCTCCAACTGCCGATTCCGCAGAAACAGAGATGGCAGGAGGCAAGACAATTGCCGCATTTCGGGGCTGGTTGTGTTCGTCAATCAGGAAGATTCCCCTTCCTCCTCTTCTGGTTCAATTTCTACTTCCACTCAGGAACCAATTGAACAGGGCAATCAACACCCCGACCCACAGGACCTTGAATATGTCTCACAAATTAAGACAGTTACTTCTCCCTCCCCTCCCTGTTACTAATTTTACACGCGTCTTTGTGTTCTTCGCTTACTGCAAAACTTCTTCGTTTAGGTTTTGGAACTTCTGAGGAAAAACAGAGATATGCTGTTCGACGAGGTAGGTTTGTTATAATTGATTCCCTTTTCTCAGTTTCGCTTACTAATTTCTTTTATGCTGTGACACAATTGTGTGTGTTTTTGTTTGGGGCTTGGATTTTGAGTTGGATTTGAATATTACTCCCAGTCCCACCTATTTTGTCAAATTTAACTTAGGTAGAGAGGTTTAGGTATTGTGTCATTATAAATTATTATAATGATTTAATAAAAATAATTATAGAGTAAGAATAAAATGACTAAATAATTTAATTAAAATAAAAAAATTATAAATTATGAATTTTAAAATGTGATTAAATTGTATAATTATATTTTCAGAAAATCAAAGGATAAAATAAATTTTTGAATTGGAATAGTTGTATGATGCAATGTTTTATATATAAAATTGATTTTTAGTATAATATAAAAAATAGGTTGTTGATTTGATATTTTTGAGGGAAAAAAATTTAATTAATAGTAGATTTTTGGTAAAATTCCACAATTGAACACACTCTTAAGGGTGTGTTTGTTTTGGGGTTTAGATTTTGAGTTGAGATTTGAATAGTAAAATTTTTGAATTGAAATATTTGTATAATGTGATATAAATAGCTGTTGATATAATGTTTTGAATGTAAAATTGATTTTAAAATAGGTGTTTGATTTGATATTGTCGGAGGAAAATATTTGATGAATAGTAGACTTTTGAAAAATCCCATAAACGAACAAACTCTTAATGTATCTTGGGGTTGTAGGTGAAATTAACTATAATGATTGAAGACCCCAGAGATGTTGAGCGGAAACGTTTGCTAGGCATTGATGATGAAAATGCTCCTACACGGGAGGATCTGGCTGATGCTTTAGTGCAAGTATGTTCTTGATACTCCCTGCTTACACAAATTGCCTCTCTACATTAATGGAGATGTTTTATGTTCATTACATTACATGATGCCACTTTTCGTGCTTGTGTCTTTTCTCTTGAATGATAATTGAATGAAGCAATTCAAGTGAAACTCTTTTTATTAGGATCCGTAGCAAATCCTTAGTCTACTTTGAATAGGAGCAATTTGGATATGTATGAAGTTAAGTTCGATTCTTTTTTCGATGGAAGTAAAGAGTTAGTGTCAACACTAAGCTGTCTTACAATGTCCAGTGAGAGGGCATGTTTGTTTATGAGTTTGGATTTTTAGATTTAGATTTTTGAATAGTAAAAATTTGAAATTGAATAGTTGTTTGATGTGATATAAATAGATGTTGATTTGATGTTTTGAATGTAAAATAGATTTTTGTATAATATAAAAAAGGAAAAGTAATTGTTTGAATTGGTATTTTTGGAGGGAAAAAAGAATTTGAATGGTAAAAATTTTGTTAAAATCCACGAAAGAACACAACACAGAGATTTTATACAAAGTGTGTTATTCATTTATTTTTATTTTCATTTTTAATTCTCCACCCTTTTAAGTTAAGGGTAGTTCAACATGAGCAGGCATGCTATATCTTATAGTGGACAAGCTTTGGTATTTATTGGGCCATGGAAAATGAATATTTGTTCATCTATAGGGGAGAACACTATTCAATATTTTATAAAAAGATCATCGACGAGAAGAACTGAGAAGGGAGCCCTAGTCAGTGTTTCTGAAATCTCAAAGACTTTCCTGTTGTGCAGGGTAACTAAGTTATAAGAAGGCATATGCCAAGGCTGATCCTATGTATAAATTTCAAACTTGGGTAGGAAGGACTACTGCTTAGCTGTTTTAAGAAAATGATTTATTCTCATCCTTGTGACATTGATAAAACCTCTACATTGGTTTCTCTTTGTTGAATAATTTTGCTTGTGCGTAATTAGTTACATAGGAGTTATTGTCAAGTATTAGCTGTTTAGGGGTTTTAGTATACACATTTGACTTTCTAAGTTTTATGCCATGAGTTTTATCTTATTGGTATTGGCTTATACCTTTATTTCGTATATTACATCGTACTCTTATTTTGTCAAATGGGTGCTGCCTGAAAATAGAATTGTTGTAGAAAACTCTTATCATATTAGGTAAGTTGATGGTGGTGCTCTACCTTCTCTAATGCATTGTGTGTGTTTCTTTGGGTTTTTCTACATAGTAACTGATAAGTTGGAAGATTAGTTTTTATGATGAATTAAATGGACTTTGGATCTTGGCATATTGCTAATGGTTAGATGTTGAATCAATGACAAGGTGTTGCAGACCCTAAATCTTTCTATCACAATTACATTTATACTCTTTATTTTGGTGAGTTTTCGGGTCTAAGTTAGAGATTTTAAGTCATGAATTAAATTAAAGAAAATACTTATAATTGAGTCTGGGCAAACGGAAAAGCGGTAAAGGACTTGCTAGCAAGCAAGCAAGCAAAACAATAATATGTCTGAATTTAAAGAAAACAGTAAAGACGAGTTGGGCGGTGGAAACCAGCGGAGTAGTGTCTGGCGAGTGGTGAGTGCAGTGAGAATGGAGCCGAGCGGAGCAAGAAGGGTGTGTGTGAATGGTATACTTTGTATAACACCCAAATGTTAGAAGTAAAGTGTGTGATCATACTTGTTCATTTAGATCACATTCTTGAAACCATTGACACTTAATTTTAAGGAATTTACAATGAGACTTCAATGACATCCAGTTTAAGAACATTATCTAAAAGAAAAGCCATTGTTAATGGACATTTCTGAGACCCGATAAGCGAACGCCTATGTCTAATCAATTATTACTTAAACTGTTTTATTAGTGGCTTTACTTTGTGTTACTTCTTTTAATTAGGATTAAATTCACATAAAAAATTAAGCCGGTCGACAAGATTCCCACGTATTTAACTGCTACGAACTACCTACTTTCTGTTATTGTGATACAATCGTAGGCTTAGATGATTAATCCTTCCCTAGAACTTTCATAGTTTATTAAGAATCAAGACTTAAACAATAAGATACAAACATGGGTTTGTACATGAAGGTAGAAATGGAAATGTAAATGATATTTCATTACAAACTAGAAAAATAACAAATCTACATTATAAAAGCTAGAGAGAGAAGACTCACTACCACTAAACTAAAGAGAATTCCTTACAATTTGGAGCTCTCGAAAGCTTAGAAGAATAGATTAACAGTACTATACTAGTTAACACTCAAGAGTTAAGTGTTATTTTACAATAGGAATCTCACCCAATTTATAGAATATTGGAGACGGCAATTGAGCGGTTGAGAACAAGAGTAGAGAAACAACTGGGTGGTCAACGGTGGGCAAATCAATAAAGTATGTCATAAATCAGATATTGTAATGTTTTTGTACAAAAATTAAGTAAAACAAAGATTTATCAAATAAAAAATATGCTCAAATTTGGAGTTATGAATAACATACCTTGGAAAGCCTTGATAAGCAATCAATGATCACACAACTTTTTTTGAACATAAGTTTGAGGAAGGTTGTAGTTGTGGTTTCGGAATTAACTGGGCAAGCATAACAAGAGTAAATGTTTTTTATGTGTGCTAATATACAATTATTATACCTATGTGAGTAAAAAATACTTTTAAGATTGAGATTTATGTGACAGCCAAAAATAATGTGCCAAATATGATATTTAAAATGGAATATAGATGGTTTGCAAGAATGATTAACCCAAGGTGGAAAAACTAGGGACGAGGAAAGGGATTGGATTAAAAGGTGGAAAAAAAATAATAAAATAAAGAAAAAGGAAATGAAAGCTGTTTGTAAAGTAAATTGCACAGTTTGGTGTTAATTGAGAGGTAATATAATAGAACTTATGAATCTTCTAGTTCCACTTAATTCATGGAATGAAAGTGTATTGCAAACTTAAGGGATTAGCTTAACGAAAGAGTTCATTTTGTGGAAGGGTTGATCAAGATTTTTTATTTTTCTCTTTGCAATGCACGTACACAGTGATATAGAAACTCTTGGCTAGCTTCTATCAGATGAATTTGCATGCATCTTAGTTGTTAAATTTTGCTCATAAAATTGAAAAACTTGTAATCTGTATCTCACAGAAATTATCATGTCAAGCAGGGCATATTAAGCATGTCGATTTGATTATTTTTTTTGTGTGTATCTAACGACGTAAGCTTAGCCTAATCAACAAGCACACAATACAAATAGATTAAAACAGAACTTTGAGTTTGGGTAGTCTTATTCAATCAAAAGAGTATAAAAAACAGGTGTTGTTGGGTAGGTAAGTATGAAATATAACATCACATTATTGATGCGTCTTATCCCATGTTGCAGATTATATTTCCTTTACAAAAATTAATTAAAACATTGTGGCCTGTATCTACTTAGGGTATAGAACAAATGGAATTCCACCATTTGGAAGGAAAACCATACATTGAAGATACCACTTATATGACTTTATAACAGTTTAAATATACATTTCAACATGGTTAAATTTTATATCAGGTAAATGAAGGAAAAATACCTGAAGATCGTGAGGCTTTGCAAATGCTAGCTGAAGAAATGCTTGGGTGGCCTAATCTGGAGGTAACTTATCATTTAGCTTTGAACATCATTGGGCCACTGCTCATACATTATTTGAAGCATTTTTGAGTTTTTGGGCGAATGCTTTTTTTAAATTATTTGTTAGTTCTTTATTAATAATTGAGAAGTAGTATACTCAGCTGTGTGAGAAATGTTTGATGTGATGAGGTCGGTGGTGAAAGTTGCCCTATTGTGGGCATTTTTGTTTGTCCCTGGCATTGAATGTAAAAACAAAATTGTTGTCCTTCTCTAGCCTCTAGGGAATGCTCTCTCATTCAATGATAGATTTATATTCTATTTGTTTGAAGTTTGGTTTCAGCTTTCTTTACTACGAAATCATCACGATTTACTATAAAAATGCATTATTTTCTACCAGCAAGTATTACATCTAAACTACTATTTAAGCAAAAAAAATAAAAAACCTAACACCAAAAAAGCACACCCTTAGAGTTTGAATTCTGTTCAAGATTGTTGTCACTGTCATTTTGTGCTGTTAGAGCTGATTACCTTAGGAATTTAGCACACATCTGAGAATCTCATTTTAGTTTTTCACAGTTGTTTAGAGTAAGAACACTATTCAGTTTTTTATTCTCTAGATTTCCCTGCACAAATTGGTGTGCCAACAGAAGAATACCATCCAAGTAATATAACTATTTCAGACAACTGTACAAGTACAATAATTTCAGAACAATACCATCTAAGTAATATAACTATTTCATACAACTGTATGAGTGCAATTATTTCAGAACAAATAAGAACCCATGCCTCTCATTAGGAGAAGTTAGAAAAGTGAATCAATTTAGATTGGAATTGCAATTTAAATATAGTGGTACTGAAATAAGTATATATTTGAATTAAATACTTCATTAAAGTTTTCAGTTAATATTGGTATTGTGGTAATTAGAACTATTTTTAATACCACTGTCGATGTGTTACAAAAGTAGTATTGATTTTTTTTACTCATATATATATATATATATATACACTACACTCACATAGCATGCAAGCATCGGGATGAGTTGATAGCTACTTACACACGGTGGACTATTATTAAGGGTACATAAAAGAAGTAAGATACATAGCATTACTAAAAAGTGCATTTTCTGCCAAACTCCTTGGTAGGTTGAAGCTCCAAAGAAGACACAACCAGGAAAATCTTTGTATGAAAAAGTTACAGACACAGGTGTTAATCCACAAGAAGCTGCCAAGAGGCTAAATATTGACTGGGATTCAGCTGCTGATATAAAAGATGTGGATACTGATGACGTGGAAGTGCCACCTGCTGTGGTTTGTTTTCCCTCTCTAGATACTAAATTTCAATTTATTTTTCTTACTTTTTCAGGCCAGTGTGTGTTTGTTATCTTTACAATTCTTTTACCATTCAATCTCTCAATTTTCCTCCAAAAACATCACCATCAATACATATTTTCCATACAAAATATCATATGTAACAATTGCTTCACTTTGAGAATATCAAAACCCAAACCACGTGTACCCAAAAAATAGCGTTTGGATTATGCTTGTGTTTGTGTGTAAATAGTAATAAGATATGATATTTTGTGAAAGAAGGTAATATATTTTAGAAAAAATCGTGAAGGTTGAATTATTTATAAAACATATTATTGTATTAACTGATTTTATATATGAGATTATTTTATTTGAATCAATAATTTTAATGAAAAAAAAATTAATCAAACTAAAAATATATTTCTTTTTAATGTGAAAAATCTCTACTTCTTCCCAAAAAATTATTATAGTTAATATTAAAAAAGCATTGAAGTTAATTTTTGAAAAATTGAACAATATACTATTCTTTATTTAGCCATTCTATCGTTTGAAAATCACTCAATGGTAGGCTTGATCTAAGTCAGTCGTTTCAGTCTTAACGAATACATTTAACTATTTATTCGTTACAAGACAAACTTAATGGAATTAGGAACTTAATCATTAAGTCAAAGTGATAGGCTTACTTTTAGCTGTATACACTTGCTATCATACTTCTAAATTTGGATTTTTTGGTTTTATACTATTTGATTATCATGAAAATTAAATTGAGTGTCCTTAAAAGTTGTAGAATTTAATATGTTCTCAACCATTGGTGTTATGAGGTTTCATGAGAAAATTCTATTAACTTGATCAGACTACGAATTTTTGTTCAATTCTATATATATCTTAGTACTAATCGTTCTTATGGAACTAATACATATTCATCTTCTTTATTATTTTTTTTTTCTTGCCTTCTTGAACATCCCTGGCATATTAACGTTTTGATGCATCAGTTATTATGCTTTAGTAATGATTAAAGTTTCTTAAGCATGGGAATATTGATGGATAAAATGCAACATGAGCATATTTGACAGGAGTTTGGAGAGGTAAATTGGTATAGCAGACTAACTAAAACCTACTCAGTGGAGTGCTTAAAGTTAAAGCTAAAGTAATTTGAGGGTCGAAGTTAAATCCCCTGACTTATATTCATTAAAAAAACATGAACAATTCCAATAAATTATATTTTCACGAGTATTTACTTTGGAGTTCATCTAAATTATATTTTTAAAAAGTCTTTAGGTATTCACTCTCTTTTTTCGTAATTTCAATTTATCTTAGATCTTTAAATTATTAACAGAGGCAGAAAGAACAAAAACCAAAAAAAAAGAGAGGCAAAAATAGGATGGGAGAAAGTCATAAGCTAACATTTGAGCAAAAAGCCAAATAGTTTAATGAAATCAAACTAAGCATATGATTGAAACTGACAGCTTTAATGATGAAGTATATATATTGTGTTTATTTTACCAAATTTATGCAACAATATGGATAGTGAATCATTTTGCACATGTTGTGTTATATACATCTTTTAAACCTAATGCATGATTGCATTGAATATGAATCATTATATTTAATTTATGGTATCTATTAAAAGTTTAGTCTTCCTAGTAGGAGATGCACACGAAATGTGATGTAATTGTGGTGTTGGTGAAATTTGATTTATATTGAAATGCAATCGCAATTACACATGTGCAGGGATATGGAGCTCTATACCTGGTAACAGCATTTCCAGTGGTCATCGGAATTTCTGTAGTGCTTATTTTGTTTTACAATTCTCTCCAATAAATAGTTAGTTCCACAACCACGCCAGGTCAAGGTAATCAAAGGTTATTTTCTTTTCCTTGGCCAGCATATATTATTATTATTATTATTATAGTATGTTAATAATAAGTTTACCCAATCAACATGGCCTATTATTATAGTATGTTCATAATAAGTTTACCCAATAAGTTTTCCAAAGTATGTTTATTATTGAAAATTGCCTTCTTTTTTTATTTTTTTATTTTTTTTTTGTTCGTTTTGTAAAGATGAAAGATTAGGATTTCAATAGACACAATCCCACTTGTGGTCTTAGCTCCTCAAATCGATTGACATCTAGATGGTTAGTAAATATTTGTGCCAATTGATTCTCTATTCGAACAAACTTGATAACAAGCGTTCCTTTCTTAACTAGTTTTCCAATGAAGTGGAAGCGAAGATCAATATGATTCATTTTGCTTTGATGAATTGAATTCTTGGAGATAGTTATAACACTTTGATGATAAGGATGTCTTGTTTGATTTTGTAATCCTTCAACATGTATTGTGTCTACAAGAATTGAAAGCAACACTATAATCCAACAATAATGTGCTCTGTTTGTGCGCGGAACTTAGAGATTTGAACTCTGTTTATTGTTGTATCAAGACATCGAATTCCTTCTAGCAAAGTCCATATTAAAACGACCAAGTTGTTCAAGATTACTTATTATGCAATATAGTAGTCTTTAATTTTCCATAATTCAAGGTACCAAAGAATTCACTTGAAAACTTTCAAATGATTTACTTAGGTAAATATTTTGACGAGTAGCACTTGACATATATGGGCTTTCAATTATGCATAGGATTTCGAATAGCCTTCGAATTTTTCATTCCAAACTTCTTCGTCATGTTGAAAACATAGAGGCTCTAGTTAATGAAAAATCTTTTATTACATTGGTACACTTGTAATTCCAAGAAGGATTTTAGTTCTCCAACCATACCATCGCAAACTCAGTCCTCTGTGTCCTCGATGATTATTGTTATTATTATATATATTTTGTTTCAACACATTTGAAGTTGATCGACCTACGTAAATTGAGCAATCATAACATCTTTATGATCTCTTTTGATGAATAGGGTCTTGTCACTAGTGCCACTTTTATATCATTGTTCGAACATATATTGTGACATGTGATAGTTTTTCTTGCCATATGCCTTTTGTTTTCTCATTTTTACAGCTTCCAGATTATTACCAAGGTGCATTCATTTTTGCATTTTCGTTTCTTGGTTAGAAAATTCTCGATGCTCGTTGGAGTTAGCATCTTGAGTTTGCAAGTAATTTATTCTACTAACTCCGTGCCATAAGAAAGATTTTATTGTCATTTTCGTCCGTTCCAACACAAGCTATCATTTTCTAATTTAGTAATTGTACTACTTACCTAACATAATAAATACTCTTTCAAATTTTAATTTACAATATATTACACAAATGTCACAATCTTTAGATTACACAATATTAATATTCAAAATTTATGTGCAAAAAGTAAACGTTACTATTTATACGGGACGGAGGGAGTAATTAGTTTATTTGTTTTATTTATCTTTTACTAAGGGCAATTTTGTCTTTTTCTTGTCTTATTCATATTTTTTCATTGTAGGAAGTTAGTTAATCTTTCATTCATAACTATGATTATGAAACCGGCTGCGAATTTTAATTCAGCACTGTGCTGAAAAACACCCAATATACTAACAAACAACATACAATATTACTATTGACAATATATTATTTATATTAATATATATCTTACAAATACCGCATATAGACTAACAAATGATATAGTCTAACATATCATATACAACAATTGATTTTAATACATTATATATTTTTCTACGTCACATGCTGTAATATTATGAACATGCATCATATGTCTTTATTACAAACAATATACGTTATATGTAACAAAGACATGTGTTACTTTTATTTTTTACGTGTGCTATTTTGAAAAATCAGTCTAAATCGGCACCGTAACCCTTCTCCTAAAACCATTACAAAATATTCGAATTTGTCATGAAGCATATTAAAATTTCCAATTGGGCCCTGTTCTTATTTTGCTTTCCGAATGAATTTTGAAGATTTTTGTCATAGTGTTGGTGGAAATACCAATGAATTATATGATTAATTTAAACAATCTCTCACTGATCATCATCATCACCATCTTCACAGCTAAGGCATTGCATTAAGTGAGGAAAACCTGTGTCAAGAGTGTGTCCACAATTTTATAAATTTGTACTTATGCATTTAGGCACGTAGTGCCCTTTGCCTGCTCGACGTTTCGCACACCCTCACCACAAATTTCAAATTAATTAATTTTACAAACAATTAATAATATATATATATAGTATCTTAATTAGTTGTTTCAGAGCTGAGACATGGTCAAATGTTGTCACTAATCCATATTTTAGTCTCAGATGATTAAGACTGTCCTCAACAATTGATTATCAAAGTTTAATTTGTTTGCTTGATAGATCAATATGATGTCTAGATCAATATGATGTCACACAGGCATTTATTCGATTAAAAAAATGCAAACCTTCTTTGTCAACTTCTTGGGGATTAAACAAATATTCATCCCTAAGTAAATTAGGTTCGATTCTTTTCACATTGTCCAATATATAAATACCCAATGCTTGATGTTCATCATTTATTAATTTTTTTTTTTTAAAAAAAATGGAGAGTGGGTATCAAGAGGGAGTTGGATTAGTAATCCCCTTTCAAGATGAGTTCCCATATGCATATTCAAATGCAAATGATGATTTAGGGTTTATAGATTTCATGGATGAAGCTAATTTTGATCAATTTATCGACCTAATCCGAGGAGATGATGAAGAAGAAAATCCTATTCAACAACAACCTATTCTTCGCGAACATAGTAATATGAGTGGTTTGATTGATGATGTTATAAATCTTGTCCCTCCTCCGGTGGATGAATTGTTCGATTTTAGCGTTGTAACGGAGGTTGAGTTATCGCAGAATGAGGATGCGACGACAAAGAAGAAGAGCTGTAATAATAATAATATTAAGGTTGATAGATCAAAGACATTAATTTCGGAGAGGAAGAGGAGAGGTAGAATGAAGGAAAAGCTCTATGCTTTGCGCTCACTCGTTCCTAATATCACTAAGGTTTGTTTTCTTTACGTATTTATTTATTTTTATTATTTTTATTATTATTATTTTAAGATATATGACCAAAATAGAGTTGAATAAATATAGGAGATAGATTGATAATTTACTATTTATACAGATTAAATTGACAACATTAGCTCCAAACTATTACATTCGTTACAATTTAATCATAGAAATCCTTTGCCTTAGCCGACTTTCATTGGAATGTCCTTTGAAAGATTCAATTCAGTCAGCAGTTCGACTCAACTATGAATCCCTTTTTATTCGCTGACCTATCGCGCGGCACAAAGAAGAAAGTTTTAAAACAAAATAATTTAATTTCTAATTTTCTACTATATAATTATGGTGACTTTGTAAAAATCACTACCAACTAAATATAAAATTGTTTTGGAATCTTTATAGATGCGAGATAATTGATTGAAAAATTTTGGTAGTTGTCTCAAAATTTTGTCATGGTCGTTTGGTCGTGACAATTTCGAAAGTCACATAATGATATTGTCTTGAACCGTCGTGACAATTTTCGAGACTATATTTTGTATCTAACGGCTGTGACAATTTTAGACAAATATGCAAACGGTCAAGATAATTAGTGATATCGCAAACTATGGTTGAGACACTAATTTGTCTCGAAAAAATATGTGTGACACAAGATTGTCTCGGAATTCTTTTTCCAAGACAAATTAGCATTTTTGTAGTAGTGAATACATTATTATTATTATTATTATTATTATTATTATTATTATTATTATTATTATAAAAGGTAAACTGTTTTTTAGTTCAATAACGGGCTTCTCTTGTCATTTTAGTCCCATAATTGGAGCCTGTATTGAAAAAGTCCTGTAAATGAATTTTTTTTGGCATGTTTGGTCCTCCACACGTTTATCACTTAAAATAAAATGCAATTATGATATTCCTCAAAATTTGTAAATAGGTTACAATAATTTGACATGACACAAAATATCTTACTTTATATCACAGTCAACCAATATAATATTATATTCATTAGAACGTATATCCAACGCTTGCTCAAATGAACATAGATTTCGTAGACAGAGCCAGAGAATATAAGCAAATACAAGTTTGTATATATATATATATATATATTTGAACTTACAATGGCAAAGTGAACTGATCATTTTAATATGAATCCATGCCCATAAATGCAGATGGATAAAGCTTCCATTGTCGGCGACGCCGTGTCTTATGTCCGAGATTTGCAAATGCAGGCGAAGAATCTCACTGCTGAGATTGCCGGTCTCAAGACATCGCTGTCTCAATCTTCCAGCAAAAACAATGTTACAAGATTCTATTCTACTACAAGAAAGATATTTAAGGTACTAAACAAAGTCTTGTGTATGGTCTTCATCCAAGAAAAAAAAAAAACTCGATATTTGGTCTTATAACTCGATATTTTTGTGTTATTTTTGTGTTAGAGTAAAGTCGGTATAGAATATCATTTTTATCAAAAACTAATGATCATGCATTTATAATGCGGATGATCTTGTATTTAATAGAATAAATATTATATAATTTATTATTAATAGAAAAAATAAAATAGTTAATATTTACAGCTCCTTTCTCCGATTTTACCATAGAAATTAGGTAAAATTTCTAATATTTTTTTAGGAACCGCATGTTTATCAAAGGGACGATGTTATATTATATAGAAATATATATAAATTATAAAGTTTTTAATATAGTTGTCTATTAATGGAAAAAAATATATGATATTGACAATTTATTTTTTCAATCTTGTCTAAAAAATTATTAAAATATGTTATTTTTTAAAGTAATTTTCATAATAGATGTAGTTTACCTTTTACTCCCTCCTTTCCACTTATTTTCTCCTTTTTTTTTTCTCTGTCAGTCCACATTATTTGTTTTTTTTTTTTAAAAAAATATAATTATATACTTTAATTATATTTTAAAATTTATAATTTTTTTTAAAGTAAACTATTAGTCATCTTAATCTTAATTTATAATTTTTCTTATTAAATCATAATTATTTTTATTAATACACTCTCTAATTACTAGCTAAAATAGACAAGTGGGATGAAGGGAGTATTTATTTATAAATTTCTGTTCTCCTAGAGGCCAAATGTGTGATATTTTTCTATATGAACTCAGAGAGATAACGAGGACACCAAAAATAATTTATTTATAAAGTAGATAACTAAAATACAGTTAATATGGAAGCATCGAACAAGAGTGATTATTGATCATAAGTACAAAACTTAAAATTTGCAATTTTTCCGGGGAGTCTATCATCTCATGCTATTGCATATGCACGAATGCACGCCGTGCACATGGTCGCGTCGCGTGAAGCTAAACAAATTTGCGTATCTAATTACATTTTCGACAGATGGATGTGTTTCAAGTAGATAAAAAAGGGTTTTATGTTAGAGTTGTCGGTAACAAAGGGAATGGTGTTGCGGCATCGATTTATAAAGCCATCGAATCCGTCCCATGGATCATCGTCGAGAGCTCTAACTTGACTGTTTCTGCTGAAAACTATGTGGTGGCATTTACTTTGCAAGTAAGTTGGCTATCCTTTTTTACAAGATCTTATAACTTATGTCAATCTTAATTATAAGTTTCCCTAATAATGTTAATGAATTAATTATTGTTAATGAAGCAATTGAAATATTTTTTTTCACTGAAATAATAACAGATTGTGGAGAAGAAGATGGAGGCTGCAAGTTTGGAAAATTTGAAGGTGTGGATTTCTAGGGCTTTTATCAATTTAGGGTTTCAATTTGAAGTCTTGATTCCAAACACACATGCCTCTTAATTGGGATTCTACCTTTGTATTGTGTTAATTAAACCACACAAACACATATGCATACTTGATATATCATATATATATATATATATATGTATGTATGTCCACTCGATTGGGGTACTGATTTAAATAAATTAACATTGTACCGACAACACATAAAATATAGACTGTCAGTACATAATTTGAATAAATATAACACGTGCTCTATTTGATTCTTATAATGTACTGTCGGTTTATATTTTAATGTGTGTTGTTTTTATATATCTATGTGTTGAGTTCAATTATAGTATGTATGGAAGGGGCTATTGTTATATGCTGTGAATTTATATTTATATTATATTAATATATACTATGTGTTGTCTATTTATATTTTATATGTGCTTTATAATACTTCCTCGGTCTTATTTAATTTGTCAACTCTTTCTATTTTCGTCCGTCTCAAATAATTTGTTATTTTCTTTTTCTAAAATATAATTATACACTTTATCACATTTTAAAATTCTTAATTTATAATTTTTTTTATTTTAATTAAACTATTTAGTCATTTTAATATTAATCTATAATTATTTTTATTAAATCATAATTATTTTTACTAATATATTTCTTAATTATTTACTAATAACACAATATCTAAAACTCTGTACATAAGCTAAAACAACTGCCTATATCTTCGTACTCATATTGGCATGAAAATTTCAAACAACAATCTAAGTACTCATAATTGTAATGAACAAAAAATATGTAGAATTTGGTAATAGCAATTCATAAAATATTTGATAAAATTATTAGCATTCTGTAATTAAATTGATCACCCTCCTATTGTTGTTCGTATAATGTGGACCCAAATTTTATATAAGTTGGAGTTCCCTTAAATGGAGCTAAGGATTCTGCCATATCGAACAACGTCATCTAAATTGATAGTAAACCTAAACAATTGTTAGGGTAATTTTTTTTTTTTAACACAGTTAAAGATACTCAAATACATTCGATATTTAAAAGGATCGATAAGATTTTCCTAAGATAGTAAACTAAAATAACCTCACTATAATCCAATGTTGGGTTGGACTTTCTTCCTACATAGAGAATAAACGCGAAATTTATATAAATTCCACTTGAATTAATATTAGGTTAGATTTATGATTCATTCAAAAAACCAAAACACATCCACAAGAAGAGAGATAGAGAGAAGAGAAAGATTGCTCACTCAAGTCTATGCAATTTAAAAAATTGCAATTCCAATTTTAAAATATATCTTGACTTATTTTTCTCTTTTCCAATTATGAGATTTTCGATCTAATTTCTATAACTTGATCAGAATATTGTAGACTGTTGTGAAAATATATACGAATCGAACACTTATAATTCACTCACAGACATTCAGCAATTAAACGAACCTAAAGAATCTTTTATTATATCGAAATCAAAGAAGCTCGGACTCAATTTTACCCAAATATATCAACCGAACCAACACACACACTCAACCTCGACCCAAACCATAAACAACATCCACAGAAACGCACAATCACGCTAACCAAACCACAATCTATGGAAACGCTAACATTCTAGGTCTAATTTCATCACGGACAATCAACATACACCGCGAACAAGAAAGCAAACCCATGGAAAGCCTTAGAACATGTCGAACGTCAAAGCGCACCGTCGAAGCTCAAGATTCGTTGGTCAGATCACCGAAAGCAAGCCAGGAAGATCGATCGAAGAGCTCCGTCGTGAGGTTAGAGTTTCTAGAGAGAGACATATCACGATGAGAGGAATTAGATTGAACCCGGTTCATGAGAAGAGCCAATATATATATAAGGCTGAAGATCAGATCCAACGGTCCAAATCAACTCCCTCAATCCAACGGCTACCTTCACATCTCAACATAAACGGGTCGGATCGCGGGTACTGAATCCGGGTTTCGGATGGGCAGGTCGGGTTGGGGTGTTCCGGGCCTCCAATCATCACAGGCCCAAAATCATCACATAGACCATAGCATAATTTTTAAAGGGTTGAGTTCTTTGTTTTTTACTAAAGTTAGTTGTTTTTGTTAATTGACTGATTGTTGATTGAAGCATATTTATACACATTGTTGGAGGATTCTTGTATCCAATTTTATTATATTGGATTTTCTTCTTTTGTATAGATGATCTGTGTCTTTTTGTTTTTATTTATCTCGAAAGAATTTTCACATTATAATTGACTTCCCTCCTTCCGCATTTCATTTTTATACATTATTCGTTATTATTCCTCATAGATGAAGCCTTGAGTAACTTTTGAAATCATATGCATTTATATATAATGTATCTTTGCATTTTACATTTAGGGTTAACTAAGAATCCAAGATATCTGTGAATACAAGGGACCGAAAGCATGCCCGATCAAAATCACACTCAAGAAAAAAGATGAACATGGAGTGTAGGTTTTGCAAGAAGTCGAGACATATAGTAGCATATTGCTACATAATTTAAAACAAGCAAGAGGCAAGAAAGAAAAAAATAGGTAAGAACCTTTTACATTACATACTAAAGTAGTAACATTGAACCTTCCTTTGTCTTTGTTATTCATGGTAAGTAACCTCATAGCAAGTGGATTATGAATCTTGGCTGCTTGTTTTGCACATGTACTCACAAGTATTGGCTCGAGACAATTCATTTATATATCCTATAAAAGAATAATATTCGTAAGGAATGAGTCGAAGAAAAGGATGTTGGATTTGTCAAGATCAAGATGCATGATAGAACCATCCATAACTTGACGACACCCGTTGTGCTCTGAAAGATCGGATAGAATTTCATCTCTCTTGAAACCCTTGGAGATCTTTGTTAACGTATGTTGCGATGGATTAGAATTAAATAATCGAATAACAAATAGAAAAGTAAAGAAGACACAAATTTACGTAGTTCACTAACAACATGTTGGTTACATCTACCGGCAGAAAATGAAGAACAAATTTACTGAGGACGATTGCGTTACAAATTACAGATTTTGTATCTCTAAGTTTATTCAAATAAACTAAGAGAATAATCAGACGAGCTCAATCTAATACAAACTCAAAGCCCCAACACTGCATACCGTCGGGCCAGGAGCCACTTCGCGCCCCCGGACGCAAGGGGGACTTCGCCCCCCTTGACCCCCCAACTCGTGACTAGGCAGTGAGACCTTTGTAAAACTTCAGCGAAGTCACAAACTAGATTCAAGGCATATCAACAACCTAATTCAGATTTTTCTAAATGTGGTCAAAAGAGAAATAATTTAGTGATTGATGGTAGGATTAATTAAGAAATCATTAGCATATTTGAAGCTATGAATGTAGGAGTACTTAACTTTCCTTGCATTAAGTTTTTCAATTTCTATATGTGTTAAGTGTGATGTCCAATGTTTGATGTATTTATTTATCGATCAATACGATAGTTTAGCAGTTGATATAATGTTTTATGGTGGAGCAAATGGTAGTAATTGTAGTGAAGACCGATGTGGATGGGAGACAGAAAAATGCGATAGAAACAAAATATATCTTAAATCTTTACTTAAAAAAATTAAAATTTTAGTACTATATTAAATTAATTATAAAAAATAAGATATTTTCTCTACTAAAAAATTAGGGTTACATTGAACATATATATATATATATATAGATGACCTTGAACTAGATTAAGATTTCATTATAAACATACAAATATAATGTAGAGTAAAAAATGGTGTGTTTGTTTTGTGTTTTAATATTTTTTTATATAAGGTATGGAGAATTGTGAATATAATATAAAAATAAAAATTATATGTAATATATTAAATTTTTTTTGAGAAAATATGTTGAGAATTTTTGTTAGCCATACAAAATAATTATTAAATAATTATAACTATATGTAACGTTGCTCTAATCACTTAGATTTTTGTTTTTTTAGGATTTATTTTCAAAATTTATTATTTGAAATATGCATTCTCTGAAAAATAAAAAGTGTATAATATCAAATTAAATATAATTTAAATACAAAATATAAACCAAATCTTTAAATTCCAAACGCAGAAAAAACACACCCTAATATCTCGATTATATATATATATATATATATTTTGGTGGCTATTATCACTATTGGAATCCAAATTAAGTTTTATATTGAAAAATGAAAAGAAATACCCATATTTTATAAGTCTATATATATAACTCCACTAGTACGAAATATTTTGGTAATTAAAAACAAAAAGAGAAAAAACAAAATTGTATAAACTCAGTTCAAAATAAACAATATCATATTAATATTAAATTGGTCACGTCCTAACAATCAATAGCACCGGCCTTAGTATGGTAGCGCGCATTTATATGATCTGCCATTTTGAATGTTCGTCGTATGCACATCATATCTAATATAATATAAAAATAAAAAATATTTCATCTGTCATTCAAATTTATACTTTTTTTTTTTTTGAATTGTCATTGAAAAATATTTTCGTTTCATTTTTAAGTAAAAATTTATTATATTTTTATACTTTTTTCTTACTATAAAAGAAAAAAATAATCATTATTACTCATTTTTATTAAAATTCATATCCGATTAAATGAACACATATTTGAATGACCGAGGAAGTAATATATATATATATATATAATATGTGTATACAAGGGCTACAAATGTCCCACCATGTGCAACACAAACCCACCCATGTCTCTGTTGCCAATGCACATCCATGCAATTAATTCAATACATATATTAATTGTATATATATTTCTCGTCTCTCTCTCTCTCTACATGTATATATATAGAGGATTGTTTCGGATTTTTCTTATGCCCGGAGTAAAAATAAATTATGGGCTCTATAAATATATGATTAAAATACATTTTCAAAATAACCGATTGTCGTAGATTGAACAAGAGATTGAATGTGATAATCTGGACAGTGTCGATTTGAGAAAAAAGATGAAAAACAGACTGTCTGAAGGTTCGAAAAACAAAAAAGACTGAGAGAGGATGAAAAGAAGATAAGAGAGAAGGTTGTGCGGATTTGGTCTGAATGGATATAGAGAAATATAGACTACTATTGAATTTGAAAAGATGGCGGAAGTATTGTTAATAAGAAAAAATAATAATTATAATTTAAAATTAAATTAAATAATTATAAAGAAAAAAATATATATAAACTAAAAATTAAAATGTAATTTGAAAGTTTAAAATTTAATAATAATAATGAGTAATATTTTAAAATATAAACTCTTTATAA